TGTCTTGCTGTAGAATTGCCTGATCGTAGTGGAGCTGCAGCATTGTTGCTGCCACTGAGCAAGGATAGCAGCAAGTCTAAAGAAGAGAATCATAAACTTCTTAATGGGAACTCTGGAGATCCAGCTGACTGGGTATGTGCGATTTTGCTTTGAGTAGTTTAGTCACTTTTAGCCTGTGAGAAAGGGTTTTTTTTTTTAAATGTGAATTACTGGCTTCTTTTCAGAGACCAAGAATCCAAGTCAATGGAAAGATAATGGAGGATGGAACTACAGTGCATGTTGAAGCAGTGATGAATGGTGTATAGTATGAAGCTGCTGCAGATGCAAGGACGCCAGTGATAGCTTCTTAACTTTAGATGCCTCTGGTAAATCTGATTTGTATTCTGGTGATTGGAATATGAGTCGGGATTTTTCAATGTACTATAGTTCTCCTATCCTTAAAATGTAATTTTTCAATTTAATTCGGTAGTTGCATTATCGAAAAAAATTTTTAATTCAATAATTCCATTTCAATAGTAGCTTCTTTGGTCGCCCTGCCCTGGGGGCTGTGCTGAAGTACATACTTGTTTGAGCCTATTTATTAGTTGTCTGACTTCGTTGTCTGAAGATATATGCATGGGGGATGTTGATGCAATTAAATCGATGCTGGCATGCTCTCTCTCTTTTTTTTTTTTTCAAATTGAAGTTGGTAAGACTGCCAAAAAAAACTTGGTAGTAGTACCAAGCGGCTTTGCGTACATATTCAGCTTGGGAAAGGTATGTGAATGTGAGGGCGCATTTTGTACAGGGAATTGCAGCTCATGTCACATGCATGTAACCATTTGAAGGCATATTCTTGCGTTGGAATCAGAAGAATCCGCTGTAAATGTCCAATACCCATGTTTTTCTGTACGAACCGCAAGCTCATCAGCCATGTGCCGCGATTGATATAAATATGTAGGCCCAAGCCCCTCTCTCTATCTGCCAATCACTGGGGCTGGAATTTTGTCGTCGTTCTGGATTTTTAGTTACAGTATTATAATCATGAGCTAAAAAAGTTAATGGCAAGTATCTGCTGCTGCTGCTGCTCTCCTCTCATGAGTTGTGCAAGGTTCTTTTGTGATTTAGAGCAGCGGAGTGGATTTCCAGTAATAATTAACGTGACTCCATGCAAAGAGAGCGACGTGAATTGGCAAGTTCCAAACGCAGAGAATTTGGGCTTTTGTTGGGACAGTCCACAGACATTTTGGGCTGGTTAGTGACTGATGAGACTGGGACGAATTTCAGCTCAATATTGCGGTGTCGTAACTCTTTTAAAAGGAGTCCCAGTGAATTCGGTTCATGTCTGTCTGGTCGGTACACACATATGATTGAATAGTAGGAATAGTAGGAAGAGCATTGAGAGCAGCACAGGCACAGGCACAGGCACAGGCACAGGCACAGGCTGAGTAAGAGATCGTTTGGCCATGTACTGCTGCCCCGGATTCCTATGTCGCGTGTATCTTCGAGGTCGGTCCCATGCATGCATCATCATCCCTCTGCATACGTTTATTATGGCCTTTGGATAATTACAATTGCCGCCCCACTTGCAGCGTCTCATCTCCAGGACATGAACAATAATATGTTGCCGCAATTTAAGCTGCTGGTACTAAACTAATGTACTACTGCTGCTACCAAAAAAGTCAGTCAACAAAGGAAAAGCAGACAGACAGACAGACAGACAGAGAAAGGGGGAGGGAGAGAAAATGGCACGTCAAATTGCCGATGATGCTTGCTTGTGTTTAAGGGTCTATAATTTTTTTTTCACATAATCACGATAATGTTAAATGACGATTTAAGAAAAAAAATTGATCAATGATACTACCAGAATAGTTTAAGAAAATGCATGTGACTATAAGTACATAATATTTAACATATGGTATACGGGTTCCACCTCCAAATTTATTTTTGTCAGTGAGGATTATGGTATTTTTTTTTTAACACAATAAATCTATATTTACTCTGTATTAAGCGGTGGAAAAATTTGAAGAGATCAAGGAAAAATCGGAGGGGACTGAACTATTACTGATTCAAATGAGTGTCTACGCACCTATTGACGATATTTCCATAAAAGCCTGAATTTTTAGAATATTAGCAAAAATTTTTTCTTAACCTATATTTAAATAGAATTTTAAAACTCTTTTGATGGTAACTACTCTCGGGGTGAGTGGTTAAGTTAGTACTACCGTAGGATATGCGAGAATCGAAGAAGGGGTGGGAATGTACAGAAGGATTCTCATTATGGACGCGTGTCTGTATTAACGGCCAGGCCCTCACCTTTTGCATGCTTAACTTTCCCTTTATCTTTGTCAAGGTTGGGGCCCGTTTCCTTCAAAAAAAAAAAAAAAAAAAAGGCTGTGGGTCCGTCCTGACACCTATTGGCGTGGTAGAAACCATTGCCCTCCCCGCTGGCTACTTTACTTTCTTTGCTGTCCTGGAATCTGGCCTCCCAAGGCCTTTGGGCCTACTTGGTCTCCCGATTCAACATTTGGGCACTGACGATGATCATAATGTCATCAGTCTTCACTTCACATCCTTCTTCATCATCCCTCATCTCTCTGTAATTACAGCAGAGGTTCATCGTCAGCTGCAGAATTTTAAGCTCACGAAAACGAAATACTATATGTTGTCACGCTAATCTTTTGGGCTCTTAACATGATTTGGGGACGAATGCGTGATATGATAGTGAGCTTCTTCATGCTTAAATCGTTCAATCTCAGGTTCAGTTTCCTTTACTATCGCGTGATTTGGAGTTGAATTGTAGATAGACGTCTAGCAAAATACTACAAATGTTTTAATTTTGAGGAGGTATGTCCAAGAAGGTCCTAAACAACAGGCTTCAACTATTAGCAGCTCTTCCTGTTCCCATTCATCATACTCTTGTAGGAGTATGTGATTTACTTGGCAGGTGCCTCCATCAGCAGCTCATAATAGCAACGCATTTTGCTGCCCTAGAGGATAATTTTGCAGAAGAGGATAATATGTTGGTAAGGCTGTGGAGTGTAATTGCATCATCAACTCTGGGAAAGTTATCTGATTGTCATATAAAGGGCAGAACCAAAGGGACCTAGAAGCAGTAATTGTACAACGACAAATTCCAAGGATATCAAGAAACAGATCCTAGGGAATCAGTGGGATATGTTCGTCTCCTCCTGATTACAGCGTTTTTGTCATTCACCTGGTTTTATCTTCCTAGGCTTTCAAGTTTGAAGTAGTCATGGATTGAGCAATCAACGTTCAAAAACAGATTTTTTTTGGGGGCAAAATCTGCACAACTTTCCCCGTCACTGAATCAACTTTCAACACAAGACTCTTTCAATTCAAAACGTTTAACAATTGAGCAGAGTTTTACTTTATCTTAACATGAAGTATATGACGAGAGGCCTATTTTTTCAATAAAGGTCTACTGGATTGAAAAATCCAGTCTTCAAAATGGACTGGATAAACAAATATTAGCGTACTTGCATAGCTTATTATTTGCAAGAAATTATTTAGGAAAAATGGTCGGTTCATATTTCACAAAAATATTCTTTTCGTCCCTCACTTTTAAAATGAAGCAATTTCGTCATTGATATTTAAAAACTGAAATTATTACATCCCTGAACCCAAATTTCAATTTGAATCAAACTACCGGCCAACCTGATTACAAATTTTGGGGGTGTAATTAGTAGATCATTTGGTTAACTCAACCTGATATTCATGTGAAATTTAATGAACCTAAAAAGAAAAAATAAAAAATTATAACATAAAAAAGAAAGATTAATCTTTCCTACATTATCATTGTATAGACTGACGGTTTTATGTACCGCCATATCATTTTAATTTAAATTTAAACACCAAATTTTATATTTATGATACACATCTAGATTCGCAAGCGGATATACTAAAAGTGCATGAAAAGATTTATCAAAAAAAAAAAAAAACTCTACTATTCCAAGACAGAATGACCTTTTATTTTATAATTTTTATTTTTTGGATTTAATAAATGTCACGTGAATATGATGAAATTGATTGAATGATCTATCAATTCTATTTCCAAAATTTATTACCGGGTTATTGGATGGTTTTGATTCAAATTGAAAATTAGGTTCAGGGATGTAATAGCTTTAATTTTTAAATGTTAGAGATGAATTTGTCTCATTTTAAAAATAAGGGACGAAAAGAATATTTTTGCGAGATGTGAGAGATGAAATAAGTCGTTTGCCCAATTATTTAATCACATCATAAATATGAATTTTCAATTACCATTTTATCTTCTCAATTAACTTTTATCTCATATTACATCGTAAAATTATTATTTTTTATAATCTCCTTTCGAAACTCAGTCAAAAGAATATGTGGATAACGACTGGACAATCGCAAATTAAAATATTATTGTCTCTTCTTAACAATTATGCAAATGTAAAGTAAAGGAGGATGGGCATGGACTTAGGACTTAGGAGGGTCTACCGAGCTTACAAACAAAATGGAGGATCAGTAACGACCCAGGACACTGACGCGCGACAGCATATCTTCAAATTCCCGTCTTTGACTCTTCCCTACAGTCTACAGATAACAGATGAGATCATATCAGATCAGATATTTCTTCCTTCAACTTCAACTTCTCTTATCCTCCAAGTTTCTGACTAGTGGATGGGGTACACAGTAGTGTATATGAATATTTTGGAGAAAAGGTAATAAATAATGAAAGTGTGTCCATTGACAGATAGAGAGATATCCGCCTATCTTTCTTGCCACAACAATTTGTTTTTCTGGATCTCGACCCTTTGCTAGCTATTTTGTCGAGTAGTTCTTCCCTTGTTCCCCTTTACATCAGGAGGAGGAGGAGGAGGAGGAAAAGGTTAAAAAAAAAATAAAAATTATGAGCTTCGACTTTTCATTCCATTTCTTTTCTCCTACAAATTTGCATGAAAAAGAAAAAGGGGTAAAAAAGGAAGGGAGGTTGGATTAGTACTAACACAGAAAGTTGAAGGAAACAAGAAAAGGGACCGTAGGAAGCACAAAAGAAAAGAGGCATGATTAGGAAGTTGAATTTTCAGAACCACCAGCAGCATTGTCATCATCATCTTCATCATAATACACACCTACTACTACTAATAAAAGGGCAATAGCACTCTGACTGCTAAAGGGCCAAAAAAAAAAAAAAGGGAAACCAAAGAAAAGCAATCACAAAGAAAGATAGAGAGAAAAGAAATCCAAAAGTCATCCCTCTTTACAAAGTCGCGGGTTGGGTTTGTGCTTTGTAATGAGGGAGGACATTGGATCCATAACTATCATCCACTTCACTTTGCTGGAACGAGCAGAGCCATCATCATTCATTTCATTTCATTTCATCTTCTTCCTCAGCTTGCTCCAATTTTCAAAGTCTTAAAATCAGCAATGCCTTTGTTAACATATTAATTCTGTTTACTACTCGTGAGAGACCCAAGCCAGGATATTGCAGGATTGCAAAAGAAAAAAGAGGAAAAAAAAAAAAACTTGCTTCTTCGTACTGATACAAGTAGTAGACTAGTAGGAAATCAATGGGCGCTCGTTGCTCCAAAATATCCTTCTGCTGGTGGCATTCCCACCTCAAGCCTTCCGTCCTCCAATCCTCCTCCGATCTCGGTTGGTGTACCTTTTCTTCTTCTTCTTTTTTTAAGGGTTTTTTTTTTGAAAAAAAAAATTCAACCTGTTCTTGTATCATGAGCATTTTAGTTGATATTAATGATAATACCAATGTCGGTGTTGCTGTGGCAATATTGTTGCAGAGAATGGGGAGAAGAATGACAAAAATGCATTGCCCAGCTTCACTGAATACAGCTTTGAGGAGTTAAAAGCAGCAACCAATGGCTTCTCCCCCGAAAACATTGTGTCGGAGCACGGAGAGAAAGCTCCCAACGTGGTTTACAGAGGCAGGCTCCACCACACCGGTAGCTGGATTGCCGTCAAACGCTTCAACAAGTCCGCCTGGCCCGATTCTCGCCAGTTCATGGTTACTTTTCACTACCGTTTCCTCCTCATCCACCATTTCCGCTTTTGCAGCTTCTTTTTTTGCACTTTTTTTGCATATAAAGCATTTATTTTTTTCTAACTGTGAGTCGAATAGCCTTCCCACTTTTCAGATTTAATTTGGACTCAATTGCAACTTTTTCTTCTTCCTTTTTTGGCTTTCTTGATCGATTGGTTGTCGTAGGATGAGGCCAGGACAGTGGGGAATTTGAGGAGCGAGAGATTAGCGAATCTTATAGGGTGCTGCTGCGAGTCGGAGGAGAGATTGCTGGTGGCGGAGTTTATGCCCAATGAAACGCTCGCCAAGCATTTATTTCATTGTGAGTTTTTTTTTCCGCTCTTGTTTATGTAGTTTCTAAATGCTTAGGTGGTGTGGACGAAATGCTTACATGTTTATCAATTATTTTCAAGAATGCAAACCGTTATTGCTCAATCCATGTCTTGAAAAGTCATTGGTTTGACTCTAGTACAGAAGGTTAAAGCCGGTATTCATCAAGATTATGTACAGTTTGCAGATTTTACATGCTGAATTCTCTAATTACTGGAGTTGCCTCTAATCCTAGCCTCCCTCTCTAGTACACTTTATTAGGGCAGAAGCACGTTAACTTAAAAACTAGAATCACACATCATGTAAACTTTTATATTCGTTCTAATTTGAAATATTCAAATGTGTAATTGAAATCATTGAGATTGATCGCCATCACCAAAAACCCTTCCTTTATGGCTATCATTGCAATTCTGATCTTAATTATGGGCTGTATGGACTAGGGGAAAACCAGCCCATGAAATGGGCAATGAGGCTGAGGGTGGCATTGTACTTGGCACAAGCTTTGGAGTACTGTAGTAGCAAGGGAAGGGCATTGTACCATGATCTTAATGCTTACAGAGTCCTATTTGATCAGGTGAAGTATATCTGACCTCAATATCCCTCGTCTTTCATGTTTTGGATGCACTATGGCTGCCATTCTAAATACGCTTTCTTCTCTGCAACATGACGGCTCAATATGACCCTGCAGGATGGTAATCCTAGGCTTTCTTGCTTTGGCTTGATGAAGAATAGTAGAGATGGCAAAAGTTACAGCACAAATTTGGCTTTCACTCCTCCGGAATACTTAAGGACAGGTTGAATGCATTCTAAACTAATTCTTCTTGTAGTATAATGATCTTCTTCAAAAATTTACCGTGCACTGTGCACCCAATTTGTGCATGAGATGGATAACATGTCCTAATATTTGCAGGAAGAGTGACACCAGAAAGTGTAGTTTACAGCTTTGGAACCATGTTGCTTGATCTTTTGAGTGGCAAACATATTCCACCCAGCCATGTAAGCTAACTGTGTAAAGGGTTGAATTTTAAGGTTTCGTGTGCACCCTATATTATTGAGAAACATTGTGTGTCAGTTGCATGCAACTATTCCTTGTGATTGGTGGAGAATGCTGCAGAATTCAAGAATTATCTGTTAATTTGGATGGAAATCTGATATTTGAGGTACTATGTGATTGCCATCTCACAGGCACTTGATCTCATTCGGGGGAAGAATTTCCTGATGCTGATGGATTCTTGTTTAGAGGGTCATTTTTCTAATGATGATGGAACTGAACTGGTGAGGTTAGCCACCCGATGTTTACAATATGAAGCTCGTGAGAGGCCTAATGCAAAGTCACTTGTTACTGCTCTTTTGTCCCTTCAAAAAGATTCAGAGGTATCCACAGATGATACACATTACCTCTGCCTAGAGTATATGCAAATTCTCAGAAATCTGCTAATTCCATTTCATCATGTTTCATTAAATGGAAAAAAAAGCTATGTCCAATTTAACTTTGATATTGCCCTGAGACATTCATTGTTTAGGTGGAGGCTAGTGTCTTTTCACTTGGCAGAGTGGAAGATTATTTTCTTATGGGGTTTTACGAGAAAGTGTTTCTGACCTTTGTTCACCAGGTTCCTTCTTATGTTCTGATGGGCATATCTCATGGTTCTGCAAGCCCAGTGGAACCATTGCTGTTGACACCTATGGGTGAAGCTTGCTTGAGAATGGATCTCACTGCCATACATGAAATGTTGGAAAAGGCTGGATATAAGGATGATGAAGGAATTGCAAATGAGGTGAGTTATATTCGTTCAAAGTTTCATATATTTTTCGGTGGCATAATTCTCGTTTCATAGCTAATTGGGACTGTATAAGTGGTATGCTTATTCCAAGGTTTTTCTGGTCCCTGATAAATTAGCTTCTACTATAAATTCTAGTCATTCTTTTTTCCTGTTTACTTTGTTATTACTCTTAACAATTAAAACACAACCATTATAACTCTGTTCATTTGTGGATAAGATATGTTTTAAGGAAATTGAATGCGCTGTGGGCATGTGCATTACAAGCTTTTTTCCACGTTTTCTTTCAAAATTAAGAAACAGAACAACTTAATTGCCTAAGGACACATTGGCACCCCTCCCCTTCAAGGATTGCAGAAAATCATTTTTACATTGTAAAGTTCGTAAAATACAACAATATCTTGAAGCTCTCAAACAGTGTAGTTTGATCTTTCTGCATTTGAAGTTACACTGCTGTTCTGTGTTGTGCTTGCATATCTTAAATCAGCAACAACGGTTTGATATTGTTTGAGCACTTGGTCCTTGCAGCTTTCTTTCCAGATGTGGACAAATCAAATGCAGGAAACTTTGAATTCTAAGAAGCAAGGAGATGCAGCTTTTCGAGCAAAGGATTTCACCACTGCCATTGATTGTTATACACAGGTATGATCACTTTTTTGCCGTCTCTCTATCTTAGGCACTGGCTCGAGGATTACACAATCTTCTAGCAGTGGCAGGCTCAGAAGTTTGAACTTGTTTAGGAGTATTAATTTGCCAAGAGTACACGCTAGTAAAATTAACCATTTCCATGAGATAAAACTTGTTGATATGGCTAAATTTGGTTTAGTACCGGAATTAATGGCAGACATGAGGAATGCTTAAAAGGCAATATGAAAATTGATTTCATGTGCTGCCCTTTAGGGAGTTGAACCTGGATTTTGGTGATTTTGAGGGAAACCTAACGTGTTAAATAGCTAAAAGGTTCTCCAAAATGTGTGCTTTTCCTATTACTGGGAAAGAAAGCCTTGAGTAAGACTTGGTCATGATGCAGTTCGTTGATGGTGGAACCATGGTGTCACCCACTGTATATGCCAGACGCTGCTTAGCCTATCTGATGAGTGAAATGGCACAAGAAGCTCTGGGGGATGCTATGCAAGCTCATGTAGTATCGCCCGAATGGCCCACTGCCTTCTACCTTCAAGCAGCCGTCCTGTTCACCCTAGGGATGGACAATGATGCTCAAGAATCACTTAAAGAAGCCACAAAGTTTGAAGCAAAAAGGAACAAGAATTAGATGTGTAAACGTTTGCTATATTGGTTGTCAAAAATTCTTAAAATTTCTTGTATGTATTATTGCCCAGTTCCTTTTGCATCTCAAGCGGGTATCAGGGGAGGAAAAAAAAATTTTAAAAATAAAAAAAAATATGGAGAGAAAAAAAATCTGTTGGTGGTTTTTAAGTATTGTTTGTTTATTCCTGAGAATTACTCCTGCAATTTTGTAAATGCATTGATTATTACTTTTGACACGTATCACCAAGACTCCTTGAGAGTTTGCGCCTCCCGTGAAATGTTAAAATTGATGTGGAAGGCTACCATTCGTTTTGTTGCATTACATTTACGGCATATTTGAACGGTTATGTAGTGGTAAAAGAGTAAAAAAAAAAAAAAAGAAGAGTACCAAAACTTTTCACTAAATTTTTATTGTATCATCACCTATTGCACATTCCTGATAACAGAATAAGACACTTAATTCATAAGTGTATCCACTAAGATTTGACAGAAATCCTTTTTTTTTTTTGAGAAAAAATATTCATACATTGCTACCCTCAGTATACGAAAAATTGAAGGCTAGCCATATTAGGAGTACTAAAAAAAATATAGGAAGATTAAATAGAATTAGAAAACCTGCACATTACATATTCGACAAATTGTTTGGTGGTTTATTTGGGACTATTATGTGTTTTACCTAGGGATAAAATCAAGTCAAATCAAGTTCGAGTACTCTCATAATTGAGTTCGAACTTGATAATTAAATATATTGCTTGAGTTGAAACTTGAGTAAGTTAGTTATACTGTGTTCGAACTCGACTTGAAATAATATATTCTAGGCTCGAGCCTAGTTTGTTGCTGGAGATCGAGCTAATACTCGAGCTTGTCAAAGAATTTACTACCGAAGGAATAATTTAATTATTTTTAAAATATTAATTAAATATTATAGCGAGTACTTGATAGATCTCGACGATCTTTCGACTACGTAATATCCTTACTCAAATTTAACTCGAAGACTCAACCGAATAACTCGAATTCGACTTTAATCGAGCTCGAGTTAACCAGCTGACGGAGTTCCTCGCGAGTTCGAATCAAACTGCTGGATTGACTTGCAACCCTACTTTTACTACTGGCGCCTGCAGAAAGAGGTTTTCCATAGATTGAATTGTGATTGTTACGAAAAGGTTAACCTATCCGTACAAGATCCAGAAATTTCATAACAAACGCCCCTCCTTAGAGGCCGACGTCCTCGACGGCCTGGTAATTTTGGGACTCCCCCTTCAAGGAGGCAGAGCCTCTGCGAGATTCGAACCTGGGATGTTGGGTTCGTTGCCTGACTCTAATACCACTGTTACGAAAAGATTAACCTATCCGTACAAGATCCAAAAATTCCATAACAGTGATCGGCGCTCAGCCTATCGATCGAGCTTCAAAGACTTCCGTAGACGTGGCTCGCATAGTACCGTTGATCAGGAGCGGCGCAAACAGCTTCTTGGTCTTCAACATATTTTGGGAAAATCACTAAATTAGTCCCTTTTATATTGCATATATAGCATTTACACCCCTTACTTTCAAAATCATGCAAACTGATCCCTTACAAAAATGAAACAGACTACTACTTTTATATTAAGATCTTAGTCCGTTTATTGGTTAAAAATAATAGTTTTAGAGGTAAAATAGGCATCACACTATATTTTTATTAAAAAACAAGCAATGAAATAAGCATCACGCCCCTTTCTCTAGTTTTATGTGTTCTTTTCTTACTTCCTTTTTTTTTTTTTTTTCAATTTATATGTGTCTTTTAATATTTGACATATCTTTGCTTATTATTTAACTCGTAACTTTAGTCCTCATTTTCCACTTTTACCTAGAATATTATTTCTTCCCTTTTCTTTAACACTTCTCTTGATACTATATAGGGTTTTTGGTCAAAATCATCCAAATTTTTTATTGCTTTGTTCAAATATAAGAAATAAACCTTCTTTCTGATTGCTAATGCTAGTATTGATACTGATAGATGTTATGCATTTGGGTAAAATGGGTATGCTATGCCTTTGTTATCCTTGAAATTACATCACATGATAGGCTTGTAATATTTCCCCAACCAAAAAAAAAAAAGAGGGCTGAATTGGTTCGAGACTAAAAAATAGTGCACCTTTAATATGGTGGGACGAATTTTGATCGTATTAAAAGTGAAGGACAAAAAGGCGTAACAAGTGTGGGCTAATTGTGTGAGTTTCCCTATTTGTAATTTCGTATGACCGCTTGACCCGAAATTTGCCCTAGATCCCTCTTGACTTTGCGAATTGTTTGTTTGGCCATACTTGAAGCTTTGTTGTGTGTCAGGGCTCATCTTTCCCAGTTCTTAGGTTATTTCCAGTCTTCGTTTAGTTGCCGTTTTCTGTATTATTTGGATATTTCCATCAGATCTAATGGCGGCCAACAAGCCCTCCTCCGCACTGGAGAAAGAACAGGTCCATTTCATAACCATTGATTATAGTATCTGCTTGGATTTCTTGGCCTCTCTTATTTTATCGTCATTTTCGCTTGATAGTTGATAATAATATTTGTTTTGAATGATTTTTTTTCTCAGATTTTTGGGATGGCGGAGAAAGAGATGGAGTACAGAGTCGAGTTATTCAACAAGTAAGCTCACAAATAACTCTACCACAAGTCTACCATGTCATACTGTAACCGCCTTATTGTTATTGCTTAAATTTTCTTTAATTGCTCACATTTTACTTTTGAGCTTTGTTCTGCTATACTTATTATTCTGTTTGGTATTGTTATCATTATTATTTTTTCTTTCTGTAATTTCATACTGCTATAATTGCTTCTTAGCTATATGTATATCTTTTGTCTGGAGCTCCTAATTTTTATATAAAAGTAAGTGAAACCTGGAGATGATCTGGGATTCTGTTGTTAATTGTTGTTGCTTCTCGTTAATGTGTAGCTTTTCTTGATTCTGTTCCCTCATCGTTCAATTGTTTGTTTCAGGCTTACTCAAACCTGTTTTAGCAAGTGTGTCGAGAACAGGTATTGTTATTTCGTATTTTCCTACTTTTGAGTTTCAAAAATGGAGGATGTTTATCCCCCAGCCACTATAAAACCCGCAAATCATGTTGTACGTAGGATATATAGTAACCAGGAATTATGCCTGTTGAAATCTAAGTTAACATGTTTTCAGGTACAAGGAACCCGAGTTGAACATGGGTGAAAACAGTTGCATTGATCGTTGTGTTTCGAAATATTGGCAGGTGAATACCACATTTTCGTATGCAACCTTTGCACAGTTAAGAGCAGTCTGAAAATTTTGGATTTACCTACAGATAATTATGAGTCGGGAGTGAAGATTTTGAATTGCTTGGGGATATTCTAGAGTTGTGTTCATGCCATGAGAACTTCAGTCTAGTAGCTTGGTCAGTTTTTTTGAATGAACTTACTGTGGGAGAGGAGGCTGAGCAAGATATCAGCTTTGGTTTGTCTGTGGCTGGTCCCCCATTCTTAAGTTTTTAAGCCTGTACATCGAAAAGTTACTGGGTTGGGTAGCTGAAAAATTGAGAAAAAACAGCTACTTGAGAAAAGATACTTAAGATTGTATTTCAAAGCTTCTAGAATTGCCATCTCAAGAAGGTTCTCTCAGCAAACGCGTTACTTAGAACTAAGAAGTGACAGAGTTTAAAACTTATTAGTTAGCAGTGGAAGCTAACCCTTCCTATGTTCATTAGAATGGGAAGAAAATCGTTTTTGTAATTGGTCAAATCATATTCTTATCTTTTTCGTTCTTTATGCAGGTGACTAATCTAGTTGGGCAATTGCTCGGTAACAATCAAGGTCCAATGTGAAGGAACCTTTTTTGCCTCAAATGAGAACTCATGGCAGAGCAAAGCTAGGCGTTTGCCATTTTCGCATTTTTGGATATCATCATATTTTTATGACTCTGATTCCATAAGGGATGCCAATTTTTTGGCGCCAAAGGAGATTATTTTTAATTTTCGTTTGTATGAGAACAAAAGAATTGTAAGACTAGAGTTGTTGGTATTTGAGAAACGAATGATGTCGAAAAGGGCTGCATGCATATTTTGTTTGCCAAAGGGAAAAAAAAAAATTTGATTGAGCAGTTTCCTATGTGATGAACAAGTCAACTGTTTACATGCTGGAATGCGTTCTGGTATTATGTGCCCTTAGGTGCACTGTGCCAGGTTGAGGTAGTTTCTCTTCTGGCAATGGAGGCTCATTGTACGGAAAAGCATAACAGATGTTCTGGGCACATTTTCTGCTTTCTGCCCGTCTCTTACAAAACGTTAATACTTCTCAAATGGCTACGTGCAATCTAATAACCCCTTGTCCGAAAAAGGGTCTCCATGACGGGATCCTCAAAACGTTAATACTATCTATTTCTATTATTTAGTCCCAGGACTTAAAGTGAAAATCCAAAAAGGAAGAGAGAAGAAGTATAAGGCAGTTAAATAGCTTTTTTTTTTTTATGTGTCACGTCAGCAGATATAATAAATGAAATTATGTAGTTTTGTATTGAATAGGAAAGTAAATACAAAATATTAGACAGAGGATTCCATTAGTGCATGCATTGGGTCTTTGCCGATCGAGTGCCAGCAAAAAAAAAAAAAAAAATTAAAGCAAAACACAAACAATATGTATTAAGATTATTAACAGGGGCTTAGTAAAACTTCAGGAAATCCTAAAACTGCCCTCAAATCTCGTTGGAGCCACATTCAAATTGCCCCCCATCTGCAGAAACTCTCTCTTTATCCAAAGATTTACGAATGGACGTTAAAATGAAAGAGCCAAGATAAGACAAAAGCAAACACCATGCAAGCAAGGATGAAATTTAGGAAACGGCCGTCAAGACAAGTTGGTCGAGTTTCTTCTGCGGCAGATTCCCCTGGCTCTGATGCTGCATTTGTGGCCACAGAGTTGGTGTCATTGCTCTGTTGCCTCGACTCCACATCACTTGCGCCAACGACATTCCGAGCAATCGAATTACATATTTCACAGATCCTGTGGCAAAATATTAAAACCAGTCAAAGGTTTTCAACTGCAAAGCCGAAAGCAAAAGCTACCATATTATTGTTACACGGTAAAAGAGACTGGGAGATGATAAACACCACGACCATGGTGTAGATTCAGGGAAGTGGCACTGCACAAGAACGCAGTTATGGAACTAGGAAGGGTGTTGTCATGAAAGAATTATCAAAAAATAACAAACAACAGACTACTGACCCTTGACTAGTCCTACATGTAAAAATCCACCCTCCGGGTGACCGAAAGAGGCAACCGAGTGTGGTAAAAAAAAATTATACGTTCGGAAGGGACAGCAACTACCATTAAGTTTTCTGCAAGATAAAAGAAACGAACGAAGGCATGAAGATAAAATTTTGGACTTTTGATGACGAATCGGGAAAATCAAAGGCAAAATACATGCAAGCTAATTTCATTAAAGACGGAATCAGAGGAGATTGTCGGTGTAAATAAAAATCCGACCAATAGGTGCCACCTGCTTTGCTTATTTTTTCTTTCCCTCTCTTTATTCTGTATGAACTTTAGCCAACTTTTCCTTCCACTAACTACACATTATGGCATCTCCATCCTCCTAAAAACAAACCAACCTTCTACGCTACACCTAAGAAACTTGTCTTTCTGACGAATAAAGTGCCGACTACCGAGTAAAAAGCTTCAGACGCTAAATAAAGCTAACAATAGGAACTCAAGCTCCTGATGCATCAAATTGGTACAAGTCATAGAGCTCCGATGACCAAGAAACAAGGGATGTGACAGCAAGCAAAAGAAAATGCTCAGATTAACCGAAACACTTTAAAGAAACAAATAAATTAACCACATCCTTCAAACTTCAGGAGACTATGCATGACGCACAAAATCACCGAATAACCCCTAGGGAAAAATGAAGAAGAAGAAGGGGAAATTAAAAAACCACAGAATCACTCACTTATTTCCTTTGATCTTGAACCAAGTCTCAGCACAATGCTTATGTGCAGCAGCCAAATCATCCTTACAAGAACAGCCCAATTCAATTGGAATCCCAGAATCGGTGCCGCTACTACTTTCCAAACTGAGATGACAAATCCTGCAATCTCTTTCTTGCATTCGCAAATTTAACTTAGTAACCGTCTCAAGAACCCTACTTTCTATATCCACCGAGCAGTCGGACTCAGCTACAGATGACACTCTCCGGGACTCCATCGCCTCCATAATAATCTGGTCATCATCATGAGACCCATCCCCGTCAGCGACTGAGTAAAATTGTGAAGAAGAAGACCCCTCTTCAGCATCAGAGAAACAAATGCTGCTGTCATCATCGCTGCTTGAGTCACCACCGCCATAGCCGAATTCTAAATCCACGTGAGGCATCTGGACAATAGTCGCCGTCACAATACACAATTGCAAATTACCCAGAAACAGATACTACCACTCTCTAATACGAGGGCCAGTGAGAAGAAGCATTAATAATAATGCCTTCGAAATTGAGGCTTTTGGAAGGCCTTTCAACGTGCAATGCCCATGTTAGGACTTTGGTTGATGAATCGATAGTGTATATATACACACACACACACCCACAGAGAGACGTATAGAAACGGAGGGTGACGGATTAGGTGACCTCTTTCCACTTCCCTTTCATGTTATTTACCTGAAAATCATTGAGAGAGAGAGGGAATGAATATGAGTGCGTGGGTGTTTGTGTAGGTGCGGGTTTAAGAATTCTGAGAAGCGCCAAGGAAATCTCTCAGAAAAATAGAATAAAGGGTTTAAGGAGAAAAAAGCAGTACGGGAATCTGACCGATAAAAGGAAGACTCAAGTCTAGCGCTTTTCTTTTCTTTTCTTTTCTTTATTTCCATCATTTTTTTTTTGGATTTTCTGTGTGCGTTTGCTCGCCCTGTACATTGATGTGCAATAAAGGACGATACCATGATTCATGACCCCTTCCATTTCCAAGTTCTTAACCAAAGTACTTTTGGCCCTTAGTTTCGGCTTTTGAGTGCCTTAATTCAGTTTCGGAGGCAGAGGCGATGATCGAGACGGAGTGAGGTAGCGGAAACATTTTGGTACCAGAAAACTAGTTTGGAATGTTTGGGGATTCTTTGAGCAATCAATAATGGCCGTTAACAAGAATTTAATTGGTGATAAGATTGGGGATGCCGTTTCTTGGTGATTGGGATGGTGATAAGGAGTTTTAACTTGAGTGTATTGATGAGTGCTAGGTGAGTATTAGTGATAACACCACCCTCAATTCAAAAGAGAAAAAAAAAAGTATTAGTGATAACATGTCAAGCGCTGCAGCGCGCTCCCACGTATCCTATACTCCTATTGCTGTATTCATTTGGGACAAACACGTGTATTTTGTCAGAAATTGCTCCTTCCCTCCAAGTAAAAGAGTTTCCGAGTGTCATTTTAAGAGGACTTGACCTGATAAGAAGTCTTCAACCCGCTGCGATTGTTCTTTCCCTCGTCCGCTGAAGTCCTGTGATGGCTCAAAGATTATTGACCAAGCGAGAAAAAGGAAATAGCTAGAAGTTTTCTTCTTTTTTTTGCCCTTGTTCCCGGTTATTTACGCAAGAAAATGCTGCCTTGTTCTAAAATCCTGCGGTCACATATGAAATTTTGAATTTGGAATGCAAGACTTGCGCTCAGGGAAGGATTTAAGGCTTCTTTGGAAGGTCGATTTTCACCAAAAAATTTCTACGTTTTCGTGAACATATTTTTCAATCATCTTTTTACCTTATATATATATATTAAATCACTATAGTACATATTGTATAAAAACTTCAAAAAATTGTAATCTAAACAAGTCCTAAGTTTCCCTCACGTGGCTAACTCGCCAGCTACATGGCTATGTGATAATTTTGCGAACTCGTTCTTGTGCTCGACGCTACGCAAGTAACACACCAGTTATTGTAATTTGTAAAAATGCCATACATCATCAACCCACCACAAGTCTGGTGGAATAGGAGGTCAAGAGTTCAAAGTTTATCTCCTTTCAAAATTGTTACTTAACGTGATTTCTCTTAAATTCATATGAGTGCTCAATGCACCCGTATGATCCAATAGTGGTTTAGTTTTCGATCAAATTTTCGTGACCCTGTTGGATCACCTCTCTTGTATAGGTTAGAGTAGGATTAGAAGTTAAAATAAGTGTAGATGATGATAATAGACTAAAAAAAACAAAACCAAGCGAGCCGGTGGTCTACAATCTAGGATTCAAGACCGGTACAGTGAAGAGAGGACTAGTACTATCGGAGTTTGAAATGGTTGGATTCTATTATTGTACTTTTTATATAATATTATTTGATGTACAATTACATTAGTTATTATATTCATAATAAAAGTAGTATATACAAATAAAACATTTAATATATATTAAATAGAACATTATGATGTATTCATATAATAGAAATTTGTACATAACGTATTTGTACAATGACAAGACAAAATCGCACGCACAAATACAACAATTATACCGAGTACATGTCCGACGCAGTGCATGGCAATCCCAATCCAGGCAACAACGAGCATTGACCGTATCCGATGTTGGCCCACCTCCGGTCACCCATAAAAGTGCCGTCAACTGACGACTGACGTTGCACCATACGCAATGGGAGGTGGTACAGGTAAGGACCTTTGCGTGAACATCTTAAAAGCCATCCATCCATGCATGGGTCCCACGACCCCACCCACTCTGCCGTCTCTTCTCTACTGAAAAAATTAACATTACGTATTGTTTCCACTTTCCCAGAAAAATAATGTGCAGAGATGCATGCAGGGCCGTTTGGAAGCCCGGGACAGGTGGTGCGTTCTTGAGAAAAAATGACTCTTTGAATACTAGTACTAGTATTTCAATATTAATGAGTTGTGTAGGATGGATGGAAGACAAATGACCTGATTTGGGTCCACTGGTTCATGATGTCATGCAACTGAACTTTGCATCATCAGTTGCAAACTTATCAATTTCTTTGGATCAACAGTGCGGCTCATGAGCAAACTCAATGTGCCAGCTTCCTGAATTTTAGACGCTGAAGCTATAGCATATGAGGGACAAAATACAAGAATTCCTTTCCAAAATTTATTCAGACTTGGTATGGAGAGAAGCTTGGTTGGCTAACTACACAACCTCTCCGCATCAAATCTCCAGCACTGATGCATGTGAAACACCACCTAAAAGCTTCACTCCCACGTTGAGAGTGAGATCAAAGGTTCAAGCAACAAAGGAATCCCGAAGCAATAGGACAAATATGCCAACAATTTTCTCACATCGAATGGAAGCACTTCGGTGATACGACACTCTAGAAAGATCAGTACAGACGGATATATAATCTCCTGCCACATATTCTGCTTGACGCATTCATTGATCTCAATTTAAATATTTATTAATTTTCTGGGTTCTGAGGAGTGTCACGAGGCCACTTAAACCTTCAAGCAAACTGGGATGGCTATCCCCTGAACATCAGCTCTAGCCGTTGGAGGTTCACCCGAGTGAATAGAGTTGGTTTGTGGCTGCAATCTTGCTCTAGCTAACCAGTCAGCACTTCTACCGTCTTCTCTCCAGACATGCTGGAGTCTTCACGTCCAATCCTTGCTCGGAAATTCTTTGATTTGCTTCACTGAATTGAAATGTGGAGATGTAATTTCCACTTCCTCTATAAAGTGCCAAGCTCGCTTTAGAATCCATCTCCCAAATGACACTTCTGTTCCCCTGGTCCCATGCTAACTTTAATCCCTTAAAAATGCCCCTCAATTCAGCAGTATCGTTGCTTGCAAATCCCAGGTTCGCTCAGAACCCTCCTTTCCGTCGCCCCCCATTTGTCTTATGTTAGCCCACCTGCACCCGCTGTACCAGGAGCTCCATGACCTTAATCCACTGCTCTGGTGGAGGATGCCTCTCGATGAAGCCTGCAGTTTCAAGTTCTTGCCTCTGCCTTAGAGATAAGGCGACGCTTGCCTTCTCTGCCTGTTCTACAAGAACTTCAGGAGGAGAAAGCAGATGATCATCACCTTCACATACAAAACCAGTCCTGGCCCTCCATGCAAAATACACAATCTGCTGGAGAAGTACTTGCCATTACCTCGACCTCAATTTATTTTGATACTGCTACTAAAAACGATTGAAGTTTTTACCGCTATGGTATAGTTTCCTGCCTAAGCCAGAAAGACTACAATGAATAAAAGAGAGGGGAAAAAATCTGTTAATGACCAAAGTGCTACAGTTGGGTGGTTTGTCAAACAAGAAACCACCAGCTCTACAGGATACAAGGGAAACCTATCAACACCATCAGGAATTCAAGCATCATTGCAAAAAATGGAAACTCATGCTCCTAGATAAACTTAAGAACATGTTTAGCACCACCAGCTTCAGATTTCCCATATATTGAGGGCCTTCTCATTGATGTTGGATGCTACATGTTTGAACTTTAGATTGAGATGACAAAATTGAGAAGAAAAATACAAGTATCCAGAATAGTGTTAGAAGCATCCGTGCTTGCTGTGATTTTGAAGAAGATAGCCACAAAAAGTGACTCCAAACTGATCCTCTTTGTCTAGGGTTGCACGTGCACAGGGCAACTCAGGTGGGAGAAAAGAAAAACAACAATCAACTAAATGAAGCTCAAACCTACAGGGGAAAAAAAAGGGAGCATGAAAATTACCATAAAGGAACAAAGAAGGAATATAAAATCAGAGTTAGCATACTTGTCTTTACATGGTGAAACTCTTCTGGACAAGTAAGATTATTAGCCTGTGCTTCAGAGAAGGAAACATTAAATTATAGGAAAATAAAACTGCTCCACGTTCTCAAATTGTAACTACACCAGGTGTCAGGAAAAGAATAGGAAATACGAAAGCAAACAGGAGCTAAAAAGAGACAAAGGAGGCACTTTTTCACCATATCTTTCATCACATACCACCCAGGCAAAGAATAACACATTAGGCAAAGAAGCCAATCCTTAGAATCAGTGGCACTACATCAGAAAAAAGCTTTCTCCAGTATCATGAATAACGTTGCTAATCAGTACATCATCTTCTCTTCCGACTCAAACAAGTCACATGCAGACCACTTCCTCTGGGTGCTTCTTTAAGGGGCAGTTCTTATTCATGAGATTAATCTTATGAGTTTTTCTGCAGGCTTATTTCAACCACATTCTAGCTCCTTTTATTCTTCAAATTCCATTGAAGATTGTCATGCAGTCAGCAAATCAAATTCGACCTCCAACATTACCATCTATCAGCTGAGTCCTCCTGCTTCACGGGCTTGTCACAGGTTCAGTCATCATGCCCATTAATCTGCATTTCCGATCTTCCAAACTGTCATACATTCTACTCCCTTCAGGAGCTCTGATTTGCAAGTGAGATCTACTAGACATTACGCTATTAGCTGCATTTTCCACACTGTTATTTTTTAACCCACTTTTGCACCACGCAACATTACTGATATCAGCAGCTAATGTGGCTAATTCGTGGCTTGGGAAGGATGGAGGCTCTGCATAGTCAACAAATTCAGGCCCTAAAAATGAGGTCCTGGATTCCGCTGTACCAGAACTTGCAAAGCAACAGTGGCCACATTGATGAGGGATCAGTTGATCACCATAAGCTGCTTGAAACAATTTGCTCATCCCACTATCAGATTTTAATACTGGATCCAGTGTTCCTTCAAAGTGAGCCAGCCTTGCACTTGGCAATGAGGTTTCGAAGACTTCCAAGGAACTATAAACACTAAAAGCACTAATCCGAGCCACAGGCCGGAACAAGGAAGGAGGGTCTCCTGCTTCAGAACTGCATTGATAGTCAGTTTGAGTACTAATCTCATGCTGCTCATCATCCATCTTTTCCTTAGAGCTAACATCCTTACCGTCCAAGGACTTTGATGAGTTGACATCTCCACATGATAGAGTCTCGTTGGATGATGCTTTAGATTTTTCGGCACTAGCATCTTCCATCACCTGGCTGGAATCAAATTTAAACTTGTCAGATTCCATGCAACGGCGCCTCAGGGTAGAATTCCAGTGATTCTTAATTGCATTGTCAGTTCTTCCCGGCAAAAGCCGTGCAATGGATGCCCATTTGTTGCCATGGATAGCATGGGCCTGTAGAATAATGCTATCCTCTTCATCTGCCACAATTGATGGTTTTATCAACCTCATCATCCTCTAGGAAAAGGATAAAAGATTGCAGCTCTTATCTAGGAAGAAAGACAGTTGAGAAGGATGCACAAACTGTTCTACTTAGTACTAGCACGAATAGGAGTATAAGTCCATATACAGACATGGGGACAGGCAACGCTTAGGATCTAAGGAAATCCAGTACACATTTTCAAGTCAAAGAATGAACAAATTAGTAGCAATAACAGGATTGACTGAACATATACGGAACTCATGGAAGATGAATAATGCACCAACATTTGAACCTATACAAGCAGCCGCTTAGAAGAGGAAAACGAACATGGCATCCAACAGTTCAAAGAATCGTCTTACGCCCAGAACTATAAGGGAAGCAAATTAAAGCACCTGTAAGTACTTATTCTCAGACTGTAACGTATAACGAGCTAATTAAGCCCAGAAATTGAATTATATCCAAGACCACAGATTGAGAGGAAAAAAAAAACAAAAGAACAAAATGAAGAAACATACAAAACCACAATTGGAGGCAGACTTCTGTTGTAACGTTCCTGCGGTCAAATGTACGAAAACTGAGAACTCTAATAGTAGTAGAAAGAAGTGGAATTGGAAAACTTACCGGTGAAAGGTTTGCGCTTAACGGCTGGGTCCAGCTGATTACACCAGCGAAGGCGACAAGACTTGCCCGATCTACCGGGAATTCCACGGGCAATGAGGCTCCAATTCCTCGCCCCAAAATTGCTCACAAGTCGACCCAATATCGCGTCCTCTTCTTGCGACCACGGTCCTTTGACTCGGTCCAGTGACTTCTTACTGTTAGCTTGGCTGCTTCTACTACTTCCGCCGGCACCGCCGCTTCCACTGCCATCCGCAATCAGCACCACGCCATCCTCCCCGTCGTCGGAGCCTCGCTTTTCCGACGTGATGACATTGGCGCTGCCGTCATTAGCGGTTACAACTTGCATCTCGGTGTATATTTCTTTATCCAAGTTTTCCCCAAAAGAGAAGTACCAATTTTATTGAGTTAAATTGAAAGCACGAACACGTCGTCAGCGGCGAGCTGCAGACCGCCACCCAACTGCGTTTGCAGGAATGTTTTACAGTAGGCGTGAACAAAAGTGCGGGCAAAACTTTTCAAGCGGCCTCGTGGTTTCCGTTTTTACTTTTCACCGGTACTGTAAATCTTTAGTCACCTTTTTTTTCTTCTTTTTGGGGTTTTCCGATGGTAAGAGTTCAAACAGAGAAAAGGAAGAGGTTTAGAGTCCAACATAGGCTTCACAGCCCCCTGACTAATACGCCTATAAGTATCGCTGGGTTTGAGGACAATCTTTAATCACCATCGTGTCGGTGTCTTGCATAAAATAAGACAATTGTACAGCTGCTCCTTTTTTTCTCCGAGACGGGCCACTTTTTTTACGCCAAAAAAAAAAATAAAAATAGAGTGTGTATTTAATATAAGAATTGTGATGATGGATGATTTTTGCAAAAGTATTTATAAATAATTTATGATTTTAAAGATATATTTTGACTTGTGATTAAAATCGAACTTATCTAAATTTTTTATTAAAAAAAGAAAAAGCTGTGATTTCAAAGAAATTAATGGGTTTGTTTGGATAGAGAATTATTAGTCAAAATTTATTTGCTTACATTATCATTACAATTTCCAACGCATATTTTTATCTTCTCAATTACCTTTTTATCTCACATACATCACATTACAAAAAAGTGCTACAGTAAAAATATCTCAAATAATTTACAATCCAAACAGAGCCTGGGTTGGGGCATCACTTTATGGTTTGCTCGAGACTTGAGTCCCTTCAAAATTCACAAGCTTGCGTTACTATTATATACAAGGCTCCTGTCTCTCTTAGGGGACTTAATTTATCTTGGCTTTGTTTTAAGGTACCATGATACTATAACATTTTTCCTTTTTATTTGTTTAAAAAATGATTTAACCAAATTATTGTTTTTGTTGAAATGTGATTGGAAAGGTAATGTCTTTATTTATTTATTTATTTATTTATTGTGAGTGAGAGGACTTGCAAGTCCTAAAGGGAGAGATGTGGCAGTTCGGATAAATATTTTGTATCCTTTATTGAGCTCCTAATTTTGTCTTAAAAATTAATTTTTACCCTCATCATCTAATCACATTTGCTAATGTAGTCTTACATAACTCCCTTGAAATATTATAACTGTCAAATTAACTATAATTGTATTAAAGAAAAAATTACTAATAAATTGCAATTTTCATGAAAAACTTATATGAAATTTAATTTTGTAAAACTAAAATTAATATATTCATAAAAATTAATAATTATTTTAAATTGCACACCCATTAAGTGTGCCCTTAACACTAATATAAAAAAAAATATTTCTAGCTGTTTACTTTTATCTACGACCAATAAATAGGCAGTGGGTATTAACAAAGTTTTTACGTAGTTTCCTCATGCTAATAACTAAGCAATTTCTTTGAGTTTTCCTCATTTGATCACATTAAAAAATTAAAAAGACAAAATATATTTTTTTCATGAAAGTTCAATATCTAAACCGGTGGGCGGTTGGGAGAAGGAATGAGTTGGGTGGCATAGAAAATGAGTGTAAGTAAGAGGTATCAAATTCAAAACTTTCCGTTTATGCTAAAAAATAAAAAAAAATTGTGGGTGGTCCAAAAACAGGGGAGAAAAGAAAAGATGCAACTGTTTTTATTCTTTTTAAATAAAAAAATTTCCCAAACTTTAACAACAATCATATATTGTCTGTGAAGCCCACACCGGGAGAATTAAACATAAAGGATCAACCCTACTAAAGAGAAAGGCGACAATTTCTATTTTAAGTTGGTTTTTCCAATTATTTTCTGAAAACAGCTCCTTAACAACTGCAACCATTCCTCCCATTCCTTACTCCAAAAAAATAAATAAATAAATAAATAAACAAAGAAGAAGATAAGGGAAAAAAAGAAAATATGCAAATGGACGTTGACGATGAGAACTAATTGTTTATTTGGGGATCTCCTTTTCAACCATTTCAACCCCTGCAACGCTACGTAGTTTGCTTCTTGTTCCTCAACTCCACCGGCCTTTAAAACCACCAACTTCACCAACCCAAAATAAAAATAATTACACGACAACCAAACCCAAAAAAGAAGAAAAAATCTCAAAGTTACACGCGTGAATTACTTGACCAATCGATGAGATAGAGTGTAATGCTAGTCAGCAGTCATTCCCAATTCTAATTCTTGTTCGTCATCATCACTACTAATAACTAGAGGTGTCAAAATGGGTGATTGGGCGGGTTTGGGTTGGGTAAAATGGGTAATGGGTATAAGTGAGTCAACTCATTTATACCCATTTAATTAGATGGGTATAAATGGGTAAGTCAAAAAATGAATTGGGTAACCCAATTACCCATTTATAACTCATTTATTTTAACTTTTTGCAAACTCATTTAAATTCATTTTTGCAAACTAAGTTATCAATTTATACCACTCTTTGTACCCATCATTAGTTTTAAATATTTATTTATAATGTTCAATAAACTCAATTACCAATTTTTTTCATTTATACTCTATGTCACAAAATTACTTATTATTTAATAATTGAATAATACGAATATAAAAATTTGAATTAAGTACTATAAAAATTAATATAAAAACTTAATCCAAAAATTTTGAACCCCTAACATTTTTTTCATATATAAATTTAAAATTTCATTTTATAAAGATAAGAAAATAGGCTAAAATTTATCATAAATTGGTAATGCTAAAAAATGAGCAAGTTAACAAACTAAAAAAAATAAAATAATAAGATAAAACCAACAAATAATAATAATAATAATAATAATAATAATAATAATAATAATAATAATAATAATGTTAACATCATGACAAAATGAAAAATTTGAAAAAAAAAGTTAGGGGAAAAGAAGAGACTTGGGGGGAAGAGAATTTTAAATGGGTTTGATGGGTTACCCAATAATACCCATTTAATAAATGGGTATTATTGGGTAACCCATTTATATCCATATGCAAAAATTTAAGATACCCATACCCATCTATTCATGAGCGGGTATGGGTAAATTTAGTTAAATGGGTTGATTTGCCACCTCTACTAATAACTAATCCATCGTGATGATCACAAACCTTAGCTGTTTCTGTATAATTAAGATCCAGCTCTTAGCCCTCAGGGGCTTAATCTGGTGGTTGAGGTTGCTGAAGATGGAGCCTCAGGTCCCTGGTTCGAACCTTGCTGCCAGCAAGTTGCTGAGGGTGGTGAATAGTCTGCGGGGTCCACTCCCTGCGGGACACACCTAAAAAAAATATATATATATATATAAGATCCAGCTCTTAGCATTTGCCTTAATCACTAAGCACTAAAACAATCTTTAATAAATTAAAGGAAAAATTCTCAAATTAGTCCCTCACATTTTTGGAAATATTTTTAATCCCCCACATTCAAAATCAACCAAAATAGTCACTGGGATATTTTAGTTTTGCGGTTTTGATCCCAAAACTCATTTTTGCTTAACCTTTTTTTGGCCAAAAAACGCATGCCTACCTCACATACCCATAATTTCAAAGCCAAATTAGGAACAAATTTTATTTCCCTTAAACACACACACACACATACATATGATCTTCCCTTTTCCTCAATTTTCATCTACCAAACTCTTTACACGTGAGACCTATTGCTTCTATAATTTTGAATCCTTATTATTGTCAATTGGCTGTGAAAGCTTTTATTCGAAGGGATACTCTTGGACCTGTGAATATCGCCTATTCTAGTGTTTATTAATTAGTGGTGATATATGCAGAGGCCCCGTTCTGGGCCCGGACACGCGGCGGCCCAGGAGGAACCGAGCTGGGCCTTGGCCCCCAGACTCCTGGCAGCAGCCCTGGGCCGCACCGACTAGGGCTCCTAGGGGAGGCGAAGGTCCGTCCCGAGGAGGTCGGGAGTAATTCCCCTGAGTGCGGGATGCTATCTATACTGGACAAGTCCCGCGTCGTGCGGAGGTCGGATTCCCTTGCAGGTATAAATAATAACACACATCCACTGTACAAGATACGCTCACTATTGACAATTTACCCGGGACAGTTGCTACTTCCCGTGAACCTTACTCACCGGAAAACTAACTTGGCCGTCGGAGCGCCCTCGGGGACAACCCTCGGGCCCCCTTTGTTAGCTCCTCTTCTCTGTTTTGCAGGTCTTGGATCAGCTCTCCCATCGACACCCCGAGCTGATCAGGTCAGCTCTCCTCGGGGAAGCTCAGCGCTTCTTCAGTTGGCGCCGTCTGTGGGAACCGTAAGGTAAGTAAGATTGTGTTGATGGCCCGGACGCGATCCAAGCGTACGGCAGAGAGCGCCGGCCCTGGGGGCGGTGAGGGGTCCCAGCGGAAAGAGGCCGGGGCGTCCCAGGGCGTCGGTGGCTCGGCCCTTTCAGGGGAACGGAGGCAGCAGATCTTCCAGTTCGTGACGGAGAATCTCCCCATGCTGGAGGATATAATTCGGCAGGCGAAGGAGGGAGAGGGGGCTGGGGGTGCACAGACCTCCAAGGCCAAGGGAAAGGAGAAGGAGTTACCCCCTAATCCTTCGAAGGATGAGTCGCGCGACCAGTCCCCTAGGAGGAAGCGACCCCGGACTCCTCCCCGCCCCCGAGCCTGGGTGGTCGGAGACAGCGAGAGGTATTCCCGCGGCAGGTCCGCGAGGAGCCAACCCAGAGACCCCTCTCCGAGGAAGCCCACACGGAATGGGTTCGAGCGTTCCCCTGCTCGGTCTGTCAAAAGCCGGCCCCGCGATCATCTGGACCCTGCTCGGGATGAACTCGAGCAGATCTTGAAGCCCCGGCCATACGAAGACAACTATGCAACCTCGCCCTTTACCCGGGAGATAGAGGACTACCCCCTACCCCGGAGGTTCAAGATTCCGAGCATCGAGATGTACGATGCCTCTACAGACCCGGAAGATCACCTCTCGGTATTCCTGACGCATATGCGCCTGCAAACCGCCGCGGATGAGGTTCGCTGCAAGACCTTCTCTATGTTCCTAAAGGGGAAGGCGCGGCTCTGGTTCCAGGGACTGAAACCGGGATCTATACGGAGCTTTCCCGAGCTGGCCCGGCAGTTTGCAGCCCAGTTCGTCTCCTCGAAGGTTTACGCGAGGAACGCAACCCACCTGATGTCCATCAGGCAAAGGCCCGACGAGTCGCTGAGGAATTTCATGACCCGCTTCAATGCGGAGAGCTTGCAGGTCAGGGAC